ACCCAATTGAGACGCCAAAAAATAAAGGGACCTATTTCAAATTCTGAACAAAAATAGGGACCTATTGAGACATTAAACCTATTACTGGCCAACGATCGACCAAGATTGTGAGACATTCGTCAGGAAATGTCTCTCATGTCAAGCACATGGTCATGACTTCCGCGTCCCTCCTGAAGAATTGCATGGCATCATCTCCCCATGGTCGTTCGCCCAATGGGGAATAGATATAGTTGGATCGTTACCGATCGCAAAAGCTCAAAATAAATTTCTCTTGGTGGCGGTCGACTACTTCACTAAATGGATAGAAGCCGAACCACTATCCGTAATCAGCGCCCAACCAGTACAGAAGTTCATCTGGCACTTGATATGCCGGTTCGGTCTGCCGCAAAAAATCATCACAGACAACGGCAGGCAATTCATTGAGAAAAGGTTAAACTTGGGGATTAAACATGTGACCAGCTCAGTAGAGCATCCACAAACTAATGGACAAGCAGAAGTCGCAAACAAAGCTTTGCTCACAGTATTGAAAAAATGACTTGGCGAGGCTAAAGGTTTATGGGTGGAAGAACTACCAGAAGTCCTATGGGCGTATAGATACACCCCACACGGATCCACCGGGGACACTCCATTTAATTTGACATACGACACTGATGTCATGCTCCCAATCGAGGTCGGAGAGCCGTCACTAAGAAGCAACATCACCGACATGACCCTTAATGATGAACAACTATAGATGAATCTCGACACGCTACCCGAACGGCGAGAGGTCGCCACCGTTCGTGCAGCAGCCCAAAAAAGAATGCTTTCCCGCCGTTACAACACTAAAGTCAAGCCTAGAGCCTTCAAAAATGGCGATCTTGTGTGGCGGAAACGAGGAGAAGCAAGAAAAAACCGAGCGCACGGAAAACTAGCAGCCAACTTGGAAGGACCGTTCCGCATTACAGAGGACTTGATGAATGGGGCATACCGCCTTGAACTCCTCAATGGGCGAACTGTCCCCAACACTTGGAACGCCACTCACCTTAAATATTATTTCAGTTGAAGTTTATCATTTTCATGTTTATGACACATTATTTTTCTGCTTACAATAAGGAATGTCTTTTCCATTCTTCATTTATTTTATTCTCACATGTCGAGTCCCAGGGACAAATTTTACGAAACTGTTCGGCCTGATAAATGTTCGCCCTAAAACATCTAAACCATGGCACATAAGGATACACTCCTTCTGGCAGATGTTCACCCTAGAACATCCAAACCATGGCACATAGGGATACACTCCCTCTGGTAGATGTTCTTTCTCGAACACCCAGGTGCATTAGTCGAAGGGATACACTCCCACTGGTAAATGTTCACCCTAGAACACCCAGCAAATTTAATCTAAAAGATCACTCACAGGTCTTAACAACGTCTACCTCACACCAGTATGAGAACACTTTACTATTTACATCACAGTGATAACAAAACTACAACAAATATCTATTTCATAGGTAATCAGTATATAACGTCTTCCCAAGTCAATGCAAGACAAACAAATAAGCATCAAAGGTTCCAAACAAACAAATAAACATCAAAGGTTCATGGCCACGCCAAAATCCTACCACCTAATCTATTACAATATCTGGTGACCCAACAGCAGAACCTCTGGTAGCTTCAGCATTGGGTTCCTCAGCAGTAGTTACTCCAGCGTCGACACCTTCTTCGGGTTCCATGAAGTCATTTCTCGATATCTTCATCATTTAACACTTCAATCTTTTTATTTTTTCGTATGACTCATCAAATATTTCTTTACATCAAATTTAAACTTAGACAGTATATAGATATTCATCAAGTTCACGCCCAAAATATTTTTTCTTTCAACATTATAAAAATAATAGATCTAGTTGTTATAAAATTTAATTATATTTAGTCTTTTATATAACTACTTAACATTTATTCAATTATGATTTAAAACTTGATGAAAAAAATTATATTTGATATTAAAGAAAATAAAATATTTATGGTTTCGCCATTAAATTCATAATAATATTAAGTTTCTTTTATGTGAATATTTTTATGTTGCATATGCAATGTCTAGAGAAGTATATGTAGAACATTCAAGTGGATGCATTCATTAAGATGAGAGTTGCATTAAAATTGCATTAAATGAATTTCACCTAATTCGTTTCTTTTATCGTTAATCCAACTTGTTTATTTTCCTTAAGCAACAAATCTGACACTTTTCTGCCATTGTCACTTCCCTATTATGCAAAAATAATAAGTTGTTTCAAGTAGCAAGTGGCTCAAAGTGATTGGTTTTTAATGTAGCTTGACTTTAGGCATGAAATCGTTTAGACAAAAGGATAGTTTTTATTTATGAACATTCTCTGCAAAATATAAAAAATAAACAAAGTGAATAAATGGAAACATTCACACGCAGTTAATGATTGCAACATTCTTAGAGGATTCTATCATGTATATGATAGCTTTAATATGAGTTTTATTGTTTGAGCTTTCTTCTTAATGAACATGAAACGTAAGTTTTATGCATGCTAATGTTATCTAAGACTTAGATGAAAACTAATATTTATTCACATCACTTTATAACCTAACTAGGGTATTATCGTCTTAAATCTAAGATTACATTTTGACTTGGTTCCTCAAAGTTCAAGTAATATATAAATTGTTCTTCCTTCTAGCATAAAAGAGTATAGTTTCATTATGTATTATGCATGAGTTTTCGTAAAAGATTAGAAAATTAACTACATTAGTCTTATTGTATAAATTTGCTGCTTAGTTTTTCTAGCTATAACAGCAAAAGATGAATTTTTTTTTTCTCGGACTTGAATCAATTTATTTAGCATAAGTCATCCCTCTATTGTATCAACATGGTATTATATGCATTATTGAAGAGAGTATTAGTTTCAATCATTCAAAATTTAAAAATATTATCAATCATGCTTAATTGTGTCAATTTTTATAAAAATAAAAAATTCAAATGCATTTTACTTGATTGATACTTAATTCATCTTATTTTAATTCTTTATGTTTTTACAATTATAACAAAAATAGAAAATGAATTTATAGCAGACAATATGATTATTTACATTCAAAAAAATAAAAAATGAATTTTTTATTAACAATATAACTATTTATGTTGAAAAATGAATAATTCAAAATTTTAATTTTAATTCAACTGTAAAATTAATTTGACGAAACAAATGAGGACCTGAGAGATTTACCCCTCAAATATTCAAAATGACTATTTATCTTTTGAAAAAGTGACTTTCAAATTACATATTTCAGGAAAAAAAAAACAAGTTCTTCAAAATTTTCGGAATAAGATTTCTGAAATATGATTTCTTAGAACAGAATTTTCAGAACGCATGAAATATATCCGCAATGAGTTTTTTTTTTTCTCATTTTTTCTCATTCTTTTTCCTGTAATGTTCTCCCACTCTTTTTCAGAAGCTGTGATGGCAACAGTAACGGCCACAGTTGTAGCAGTAGTGGTATGATGCAATAATAAAGAATCTTTTTTTCTCTTAATGTAACGGCCACAGCTGTGATGGATGTATTATTTGATAAGATTATAATTAAATTATGATTTGCATTAAAGTATGTTGAAATCGATTCCAACTCTTTTTTTCATATCGATGAATTAATTGCAGCCTCAATGAAATTGAATCCAACTCTTTTATATGGATCATGAAATTGGTTCTACATTGCATGAGAATTAATTCTCTTCTATAGATCACTCTCTTTTTTTTATCTCCAACCAGAATTTGAAAATCATGGTTTTCTGAAGATGTAACCACACGAAATAACATTCCATTGAGAGTTGTTAATCATGAACCACGTAACAAGGATATAATTATATTTTCATCTCTATTACCCTCAAATCAAATCTACTCATCTGAAGATCCGAAAATTCTTACATCCCATTAATCATCTCCTTATCTCACTCTCAAATCTGCCAAAATCATTTCTTCCTTATCCTTAATTACAGTGTCTCATCCCAAAGGAACACAGCATAAATCTAAATGTGTAAAATCGAGTATACGTGAGCTCATTTTCTCATAAATTTAAACGATTCTTATCATTCTTTTTACAAAGTCTTGTTTATAATATTAACATCCTTTTCTAATTAGAGCATATTCAATTATGGAAATATCATAATCTTTAATAGCCAATCATATTTAGTACTTTAATTCATAATAATGAAAAATGTTTTTGAAGATTAAAAGTTAATAGATTATATGTAGCTAACCTTTGTTAATCTAGTTTTATTCCACAGTTAATTTAAATGCAAAAGTCAATTTCCTCTCTTTTTATAATTGTACTATAAAAGTATTGATTGTTTTAATCAATCCAAACACAATAGTTTATCTTAAAACAACTTTTCACTTGACTTATTTAAACATTATATAACAGTAACTGATTATATCTATACTCATTATTATTATAAGCTTTAAAAAGTAATCTATATTCAATTAATAAAATAATCTCTTGGATAATATATATAATCATTGGGCTATTTTCTGATACAAAACAAGTTGCTGAGAACCTTTTTTACCAGACATCCCCAATTGAATGAGCTGGCACATGCTTCATGTATTAACAGTTACAAAACTTCCAACCACATGGCAATAGGGAAGACAAATATAATACAAATACATGCCATGAAGAGTGTCCTCGTGCCTCATCATGAAGGAAGCTCACTGCTGTCATTAACGAAACCAAAATCCCCAAAAAGACCCTGCATCATGGAAGAAAATCAGACAATAAATTCTTATCCACTATGGTCCCTCAAAACTTCCGTAATAAATCAAGAAATAGGAGCATTAAATAAATTTACTCTCACTCATCACATCATTATATATTCATATTAGGCCCCAAAGAAAAAATAAACTTTTTCCACATCATTTCATCATCATATTCTAAGATAGCCAGAAGATGCTACCCCACAAATAATCAGGTCTCTAAATTCAATCCGAGAAAAATGTTACAAAAAATAGCCTCTACCGATGTCGTACATATAGCCGAACAAAAATGATCAAGATCATACCATGCTGTCATTGATTGCATATGCCACACAGTAGTGCTCCTGAAAATCAACAGTACAGAAAAAAAATTCAGATAGTAGTGGAAGAAATAAACGAGGAACTCTTCACTTTTGATGACAAAGCATGTGTTGATTGTGGGTCATGTCACCAATTGCTTGCATTAAACTTCTACCAGTGCCATAATATAGAAAATGATCAAAGTGTCCATATTATAACACCCCACCCCATAGTGAATTCAAAACTATATTCCAAATCAAGCAATTCAGAAATATTTCAAATTGTGTAATTCAAAGATATTTCAAAATTGATTAATTTGGAATTTACTTAATCTGTGCTATATTAAGATTACTCAATCCAAAACATAGTTCCAGATCACATAATCTGGAAATGTTCTGGATGGCCTAATCCAGAATACAGTTTTGAAAAAAAAAATTCCAGATTTCTAGATCCGTAACCACTAAGACAATAATACAAGCTTTCATAAACAACAGAATGTCTTCTTGGATGGATTGTTCCGGAACATGTAATCTGGAAGGTCTTTGACATGTTCCGAAAGGAATGAGGTTTTCTATTTAGGTAATGGATAAGGATATTTTAGTATATGCACTTCAGCTATGGGTTGCCAGAAGAAACTTTAGGGGTGGAGGAAGAAACTATGGACAAGTTTTTTCTACTATGACCTCTGATTCAATTGATTCCTAGATAAACACGAGGATACCCGCAGCTCACCCCCAATTCTAAAGAGAGAGCAAATCAACTCTGATCTAGTCCCGTCCTTCATAGCCCCAGAAAAATTTATAAGACAGTTTTATAGAACCTAACAGCAGGAATAAAAAAACGTCACCTGCATCATGTACCACTCTTCAAATTCATCAAACAACTCCAGCCGTTCGATCCTAACAGTAAAGTATGAAAAATTAGTTTATTTTGACATTACTTACAAAAACAACAGGTTAGCAATCAGAGTAGAAAAAAAAACATAAGAGGATGGGGAATCAGGGAAAAACTGCCTTCTGTACAAAGATATACTTTAATACGTAATAGAAATCAAATAGTCCCATGATAAGATACTGGTGGAACATTATAGGGTTAAAATCTTAATGGGAATAAAAGGCCAGACAAAAGGCCTCCATAATAAAGAAGCCAAGAAATGGAAACCACTTAAAGTCATAATTCCTTTCCTCATGCTTCATCACCTTTTGCATTAGTTCACTCTGACATTTGGAGAACTAGTCGTGTTAAATTTAATTTAGGTTTACAGTATTTTGTTACTTTTATTGATAATTATTCCAAATACACTTGGCTGTTTTTAATGAAAAATCATTGAGTTATTTTTTTTATATTCAATCTTTTTATAATGAAATTAAAACTCAGTTTGGGATTTCTATTTAAACTTTACTAAGTGATAATTGCCATGAATACCTTTCCCATTCTTTTAAACATTTTATGGCTTTCATGGCATTCTTCATCAAACTTCATGTGCTTATACATCTCAACAAAAAGGGGTGGTTGAGCCCAAGAATAGACATCATGTTGAAACAACTCGCACACTTTTTAATTCATGGTGAGGTTTCTCAACATTTTTGGAGTGATGTTATTCTTACTACATGTTATCTTATTAACCGTATGTCATCTTCAATTTTAAATAACAAAATTCCTTATTCTATTTTATTTCCTCATGCACCTCCACATCCCTTACCTATTAAAGTGTTTGGGTCTACATGTTTTATTCATCATTTTAGTCCTGGTCTTGTTAAGTTATCTCCTAGACCACACACAAATGTGTTATTTTAGGATTTACTTGATCACAAAAAGGACATAAGTGTTTCTCTCCTTCTCTTAACTGCTATTTTATTTCCCCATATGTCACCTTCAATGTTTAAGGGCCCTTCTTCTTCTTCTAATGTGTCTCTGTCTACTACATTAACATTCTTGTTATCTGTGATCCTCTAATTGTGTCTAGTCCACCATCAGTTGCTACTTAGATGCTAATTGGGTAGGATCTTCTTCTGATAGAAGATCTACTTCCAGGTATTATCTCCATTGGTGGTAACTTGATCTCTTGGAAGAACAAGAAACAAAGTATTGTGGCAAAATCTAGTGTAGGAGCATAATATAGATCTATGGCTCAGCCACTTGTGAACTTGTTTAGTTTAAACAATTTCTTAGAGTTACAATTTGGAAATGTCACTCAAATGACACTCAAATATAACCAAAATGAAATACTCTATTTGTTCATGTACGTAAAGAAAATCTTATTCAAATGTATTACTTTTATCGTTTTTATTTGTAATGATTTACAAATTTTAAGAGTGTTTTAATATACATCATTACTAAATCAGTGTGAGATTTGTCAAAGAAAAGATATTTGTTTGAATCCACTGAAGATCTTGACTTCTCCCACTTCATTGTTCCAATTTGTATTGCCACCAACCACATACTCAAGAGTTTACATAAATAATGTTTTAGAAACTGGATTGGACCTTAAATTGGTCAAGCCCCCAATTCATGGACTGATTGGTTTGACTCTCATTCAGAGCAGTGATGGAAAAGAAATATATTACACATGGATGTAAAGTAGCAAAACAAAAGCCAAATAACAGTGTAATACAAAGTAAATTTAGAATATAAAGGATGCATCTCACGGCATCAGTACTTTATTAGAATATTTAAGTATCTTAGATTACCTTTTAGAAGTCATTTCCATATTTCATTATATTTCCAGATTTATTTCCTTATTTAATTTTATTAAGATCAGAAGTCATTTCCATATTCCACTATATTTCTAGATTTATTTCTTGATTTGATTTATTATGATTGGAAGTCTATAATTAGAATAAGTGTGAATGTATTGTATTTTAAATCAACATTATAAACGATAACAGAGACCAACAGTGTCATGCATTGCATGTAACTGACTCACCAAGTGGTCAGGGTATTTGTTGTTGTTTGCTGTCTCTATTCTCTCTTTTCTTTCTCACTCTAAATCCACATAATTTCAACGAGATATGCAATACCTTCACTAAGATTTGTTTCATCACTATTCTACCACCATGTTCCCAAATATCAGGAGCTCCTCCCCGTTTCCATCATTAGTTCTTCCTGTTAGAACATTAGTCTTAGTAGTCAGCTTGGCCTTGAATTGGTAGTATGATCATTTGACCTCATTATCAACACTACAAGCTCCACTCTCATCCATCTTGGAGCTATGCAAACTTGCCGGAAATGTGTTATTTTTTCCTGAATAGACAGCAATGATCAGTGGCCACCATGGGCTGCAGTGACCAGATAGCTTGTGATAGTGGCAAGCAGTTTTCAGGTTTGAATTGTATGCCTTTTTTTTCAGTTTGTAGGAGATTTTTTTGGACATGCGTATGCTGGTCATGTACATCATCTCATTGACTTTTGCCTTACAGTACCAGTTTGGTCAGGCCCAGCCCCTATCTCCTCTGTTCACCACTTGTACATGGTTGGCTTCACTGGTGTGTTGTTTTGTTTAGTGATCAAAGTTTTCTCTGTTTATCTATTGATGTATTATGGCAGTTTCTTACCACTTCTTACTTTGTCTCTAGTTTTTCAATGTTTTAACTGAGGGAGAAATTTTGAATGTTTGTTGAGCAATAAGGAGTCATACCAGTGGAATGGAGACTTCTCCAACCAATGATCACTCCAATTGTGATTGTTTTCCCACATGAATCGTACTAGTAGTAACTTATGTGGGCACTCACACCAGCCTTATCAAGTCCAAGAGATGTAGTCTTGCTCTTATGCTTGTTCCACACCCAGGTTTTTATCCTAGACCGTCTGCCCCCATTCCTAGTCTCAGATGCAGTCCAGCCACAACTTTAGTCCAAGATGCTACCACCTGTCATCATGTTACATTATTATTTTATTTTGTAGTGAATGTGTAGTCTTAAAAATGACAAGCTTAAAGCTTAGTGTGCTTTAATTTGAAGAGAAGTGTCACAATATCTAGAAAATAAATCATGACTTTTTTATTTTTTATTTTTTTGTACCTTATAACGTTTAGAGTATCTTTGATGATCATTATGAATGGTTTTCATATATCATTATATTTCCTTAATTGTTTCGTTATTTGATTGATATAATGATTTGCAAACATAAAATAAAGGTTAAATCTGTACCACAATGTATCCCACCAATATAAATAAGAAATTTTATTTATTGGTGGTCTCTTCGATCTCTTATACCTCCTGTTTCTACCTAAGTCGCCATAATTTCATCAGAAAACTTAGTAATGGCAGTAAAATCCTAATGTTAATTTTTTTCTTTGGTGCCTCCAGGCACACCCAACGATGTTATTTGTAAAAGAACCTTGAGAAAAGCACGCCACAAAATCTAGTTGTTATTGTGGGAGAGTCCAAATCCTTATAATCCCGACACTAGAATATACTTCCATTGTGGGATTGCTGGCAAACACTGCAATGCTGACATCACTGCTGACATTGCTTATTTGAAGCTAAGAGGCGTGATAAAAGGGTCCGATACAAAATTATATGAACCTAGAGAGAACCACAACACAACAAAAGCTAGTTGTTGTAGTTGGAAATTCCAAGTTGATAGGAACCACACCACATACACAATAGAATCCCATACTCAATCGTATCCCATACTCAAGAGGAGTGTTTGAAACACTCTTATAGGCTAAAATTTATTGGAAATTATAAAATCAGGAGGGTTACTCAATAAGTTGTGGGATCCACCAAATTTTGTAATTTCCAACAAATTTCAATCATTGAGAGGGTTCAAAAGGATGTGTTAGAGAATGTATTCCTAGCATTGCTTTATATTTTAATGCTCACTGTATAAGATAGATAAATACGTATAAGCACATAAGTGAAAAGTCAATATCACTAAACGACCATGTATCAAGTACCAACTATTAGTTAGTTGCCTCTAGGAACAAAACACCAGCAAACACAGCTTTTGTAAATCTAATACACAGGCTCCCAGGTTCTATCATAGTACCTGCGTCTCTCCTGAGCATCAATAAAATCATTGTAAACTCTCAGCATGTCCCACGCAACAGATTTCTGACGCCCACACATAAAACAAACAGAAAGTATGTTATTATGTTAATCATATACTATAAATACAAATGAAGACCACATCATGTTATATAAAATTGAAAACAGCATCAATATTATTACTTGAAATGGAAAAAAAAAGTGAAATATATGAACAGTAAGAATTCTGAAAATGTGCTTCTAATATGACAGTTTATGCAATCCATCACACCAAGAGAATAAAAATAGCAGCAAAGTGGCATTAAGTCCCCTGGGAGCCACTTGATCCCAGGATCAAATATCTGCTATGCCCATTTCTGCACTTCAGCCTACAATCCCTCTCCCAATCAAATCACAACCCTTGCAAGTAAAAAACTTGAATTCGGAGAACATATTTTGTTACGTATCCAAGTGGGAGACGTAATTAAATACGATCACACTAGGTAGAAAAGACAATGAACAAATGATAATGGATGAATGAATTTCTTTTATTGATGGTAATATCTGAATAAACAAAAGTAAACAATAATTGGGAACATAACCTCCTTTAATTACTTGGGAGCATAACCTCCCTCACATGACACATAGCCGCCAGTCAACAAAACTCAATAATCAAAAACATGCCCTAAACAATAGCATCTAGCTTTATTTATATTAAATATTCCCCCATAATATAATTCTATTTACTATAATTAACTTATACCGAATAATTTCCTAGAATATAATTCTATTTACTATAATTAACTTATACTGAATATTTCCCTAGGATATAATTCTATTTACTATAATTAACTTATACTGAATATTTCCCTAGGATATAGCTCTATTTACTATAATTAACTTATATTAAATATTTTCCTAGGATATGGCCTTATTTACTATAATTATTTCCCGCCCATCCTAATCGTTGTCCCAGTTAGGATAGTCACTCTTCAATCGGCTCTAGCTCTTCACCGCCTTCTGTTCGGCTTGCTTCCCCCTATATCCTACCGTTCGGCTCCAACTCTTCACCACCTTCCACCGTTCGGCTTGCTTCCTCCTGTCTCCTACCGTTCGAACTCCAGCTCTTCACCGCCTTCCACCATTCGGCTTGCTTCCCTTTTGCCTCCTACCGTTCGGCTCCCCTGCCTTCTATCCTATCACCCAGTATCCTATCATATTCCCTAATAGAAGTGCAAATAATATGTCTATACTTCTCTGATAGTGTATATCATGTATAGGTCCTACTGTGAGTAGCATGGACAAGCAAGTAGTTTAGAGCTACTCCTTTGTTAGTTATAACAGTTGTTGAGTTACTTGCAACAGCAGTCAGTCTGTTAGACCCGAGCTCTACCCATGTACCTTACGGTAAACACAAATCAACGGCAATGAAATCATTGATATTATTCTCTTTTTCCAAATTCTATAATCTTTGTTAGATATATTATATCTTTTATCTTTTAGTTATTTGTTATTATTTCTCATTTGTATTTTGGGCTTAGCCCATATTTCTTTTATTATAAATAGAGAACCCTATGTGTGTATTTTACACTAAGGGAGATTAATCCAAATATAGTTTTTCATTATATTCAACATGGTATCAGAGCAAGTTCTCTGATCCTCTTCTGGTGGTCTCTGCTGTCTGTCGGCGGTCGGCCGTCATGGCCGCCGGCAGCCCCTAAAATCTCAGTGGGCAGTTCATTTTTTCTTCTTAAAATCTCTGCCACAGTCAGCACCAGTCCAGACCCAGTGTGCCACTGTTGTCGCAGCCACTTTCCGCTGCCGTCGCTGCTAACTCCGGCCACCGTCGCCGCCGGCCGTCGTCACAGTTTCGACCGGTGACCAGCGGATCTGAAGCGTCTCCTCGAGCGACGGCCAACCCCGCCGGAGTGATGACCAGACTCCTCACCACGCACCTCAACGCGCCTCCACGCGCCGCTTCTTCTCGGCCAGTCTCGGTCGCGTGTTCTGCACGCGCCACCTTCCCGGTGTCGGAGTTTCACCGCGTCACTGCAGATCGTCTCGCCGGAGCTTCTTGAATGTGTTTTGGTTCCTGTTTCTCCGTTTTGTTGGCTTGGGCTCATACCTAGGGTTTTCTCCCTCACGTTTTTGGAACCCTAAGTCCCTTTGATATCCGCGCCGTTTGCCGCTGTTCGGCCGTTTGCCGCTGTATGCTTCCAACCACTGTAGGCCCCCATCACCTCGTTAGTTAGTGATGGCAATCCCTGTAGTTTTGTCGCTTCCAACCACTATAGGCCCCATCAGTGATGGCAATTTAGTCCCTGCAGTTTTATAGCTGTCAACCGCCGTTGCAGTCGCTACCGTCTCAAAAAGACGCAACTGCGGCAGTTCTTCTTGGGCTAGAGTTTAGCCCGATCTTCTTGTGATACACTGCTAAGTATCACCACTTGGGAGTTGTCCAGCAAAGAATTTTGGACCTCCAACATATCTTTGGATCTTTGATGCCTCTGTTTCAGCATTGTAGCTTAATATTTTGTTTTGTTTTAGTGGTCCAACAACTGTGATATTCCACATTTCTGCCCTTCACACTAAGGGGGAGTACGTTTCCAAGACACTGCAAGTCACATATATATGGGTGTAGTCCCTGCAGTTTTGTAGATTTCAGCTACTACTGTTGATCCCGTCACCCAGCCATCATTGATGAGGATTTAGTGTAGTCCCTGCAGTTTTGTAGCTCTTAGCTTTCAGCTACCACTGTTGATCCCGTCACTCATCCATCATTGATTGGGAATCAGTCCTTGCAGATTGTCATTGTCCACCACTGCTTTCCTTCATCCACTTTTGAAGTTGAAGTTTCACAAGCTACTGTTAGTCCATCTATGTTTGCCTCACACTCTTGAAGACAAATCATCTAGTTCAACACTGAGTTCATCTATTCCAAGCTTAGTTCATACAATTTGTATGCTCCAGCTTGAGGGGGAGTGTTAGATATATTATATCTTTTATCTTTTAGTTAGTTTGTTATTATTTCTCATTTGTATTTTGGGCTTAGCCCATATTTCTTCTATTATAAATAGAGAACCCTATGTGTGTATT